CACAAGCAGGACCTGCTCCTCGTCCTCCCTGATCTTGCACAGCGTATGTGCGAGAAGGCTCATTGACGGAAACGCATACTTGCGCAGGCCCCGTGGCCAGCTGAGTGCCAGCTGGACCGTCTGGGGATGGAGTCTCCATTCGAACCACAGCAATGGTCTGTGGTGCGGAAGGATCGACACATGAAAGTACGCATCCTTCAGGTCGATCGCTGCAAACCAATCTCAGGGATGGATGCACCCAAAGATGCATTTCTGCGTCAACATCCTGAACGGTAACCGGTGAAGGGCCCAGTTCAAGACACGCAGGTCCAAAGATCGGTTGTAACCCATCACCTTTCTTGGGTACAATGAAGTAGGGGCTGTAAAACCCCTGTCTTCATATCGGCTGGAGGGACCGGCTCTATCGCATCCTTCGCCAGTAGGACTGCGATCTCCACACCCCAGCGAGACGGGTTGGGTAGCCAGGCACCCAGACACTGTACAAGCTGGACCAGCGGGACCACCGACGCACCCGCAGAGGGGCAGCGAGGTGGAATGCAGGGACCTGGTCTGTGAGCGGACCGAAGAGAGGTCTGAGTGTGCGGTGCAACGCTTACCTGGTTCCACGGTTTGGCAGAGGGTGCGTGAGTAGGGCCTTTGATGATGCTCTCGAACCACCCGCTGCTGCCTGCTGGCGAGAGAGGAGGATGAGTGTGGTCCAGTGTTGGTCCGTCCACGACTCTCCATGCCCTCTTGGGACCCAGAGACAGAGAAAACTGCTCTTTTGTCGAGATTTTTGGAAACAAGATTCTCCACCCGGCCCTCCTCTGGGGGAGGGAGAGGTGCATTCACCATCCCCCGAAGAGCAGATCCCTCTCTCTCTGGGTCGCCCGTCCCGGGGCCTCTTGCTCTTCCGCTCACCGCCAGGTTTGACGGGGGCCTGGACGGGCGGGGCGGCCTGCCTATATCCAGCTACACGGCGCCGCTTGCTCGAGGCTGCTGCGGCGCGGGGGTGGACGCAGGGGGCCGCCCTCGGCCATGAGCAGGCTGGGGTGCTGCAGCCGTCGGATGGGTGGAGGCAACAGCTGCCCGCCGGGGCAGGATGTATCGGATCGCCTCAGTCTGCTCCTGTGCAGCTGAGAACTGCTGGGCTATGTTCTCGACTGCGTCGCCGAAGAGGCCGGTCTGGGACACAGGGACCTTGAGGAACTAAACTTGTCGGCGTCCCTCATGTCTACCAGACACAGCCAGAGGTGACGCTCCTGGACCACAAGTGTGGACATCGCACGACCCAGAGAACTCGCAGTGACCTTCGTCGCTCGGAGCTCTTTCAGAGCTTCCGGATCATGACCACCCTCGGGCAGGTCCCTCAGCGCTTTAGCCTGAAGAACTTGCAGTAACACTGTAGCGTGTACGGGCGGAGGCAGCTTCTCCACAGGCCGCATAAGCATCGCCGGACAGACCAGACGAGTACCTACAGACTCGGGAGGAGAGGCACAGTTTGCTCTGCTGAGTGGAGACGGTATTAGGACACAACTGCATCGCAACCGACCGCTCCACCGGGAGGACCCCCGTATACCCCCTAGCTGCACCACCGTACACCAGGGCGGGGCGCTGAGAACCAACACGGGCCACCCCGAAGAACCAATCGTCCAACCTTGAGGGCTCGGGACACGGTGGAGGTCTCTACTCTAGCCCTACCCTCACGGCGGCCCGGGAAAGCATAGCCGTCATTTCCGGATCCGATTCAGGCATTGCTACAGTCCCGGAGGGCAGCAGCGCAGCCGAATCTTCCTCTCCAGAAAGCTCCGGCACACCCTCTGATGCAGCGATCGACATCCGATCGTTGGGAGGAGCGCCGAAGGATACTGCTGGTATGCTCCCTGTAGAGGACCCAACACGTTCCTTTGGCAGCTCAACTGATTGCAGATTGCAAGAGAAGCGATGGTCCCCCGAGGCTTGGTTCCCTGGAGGGTTTGCAATCCATGTTACCCTTAACTTGGCCAGCAACTCCGAGATGGTCGTCTTCCCGCAATGAGAACATGACTCATCCACGAACGCCACCTCAGCGTGCTTAATGCCCAGACACGTGAGGCAGCGATCGTGACCATCACCCGACGCCAGGTAACGACTGCATCCAGAAACGCACGGGTGATATGTTGTCTGTAGCAAGACGCAACGTCATCTTTACAAAGACGTAATGTCGAGTTTGCCAGACGCAATGTTGTCTTTAAAAAGACGCACCCGTGAATGCTCTTTTAGGGAAAAAAGCTCTTTTAGCGTGCTGAAGAGCAGAGGGGAGATGGCCGCCTGCAACACAAACGGGGGCCTGATGTGTGCATCCCACTCGACACGGGAAACCACCACCGCTGAAGCGCCGTACCGCCAACTCGAAGAGCTCTCAAAGAGCGTGCTGAACTCGTTCAGTCTTCTCTCAGTAGAAGTCAGGAGCAGAACGATATGACCGCTCGGCTCCGAAACGAAAAGCTGAGTATGCGTTGCACCTGCTGCTTAGTTATACTCGCGCTGCGATCAGCGGCAGCTGGATGCAATCATCGCATGCCAATGTGTATTGGCTCGTTTAGTTTACACTCGAAGTGGATTGGTCTCTCTAATCGAGATCCCAGTGACGTCGAGAGTGACCGACTGAAAGGGAGCATACAGTGCAGCAAGTGTAGTCCAATTCCTAAAATAATGACTCTTATGAGTTGGTACTTAGTGAATCAAAAACATACATCTAGAATGAATGGCTTCCTCTAAAATGATTGTGTAAAGACAGTAAAATAGCTTTCAATGTGTTCCTAAAATAGGATAAATCTCTATTGTCTCCCCACAGAAAAGAAGCAAAATGTGATCTTCACTCTGACACTACATGGAGGTCATCTCGGCTTCTTTGAAGGCGCTGTTCTTTTTCCTCAACCTCTTTCCTGGATGGACAAAGTCATAGTTAGTTATGCCAACGCTATCTGTCAATGGGAGAAACACAGGCCGCAGTGCCAGTAGGAAAAATAATGCCTTGTGCAACACTAAGCATAACACTTTATGGTGTTCTCGTTTTCTCTGACTTGAGGTTAGATGATGGTTTCTAAATGTCTGACTTACCAGAGTTTGCTCTGACCTTCAAGCAGGAATTTGAGAGAAAGCACATATGGTAATAAATTACACTTACCATAAGTTGAGTCAGATGTCAATGGTGTATCACTACAAAGCCTGACAAACTGTGCAGAGGGATTCATAAAATGTTTTTGAAAAAGGTTATAGTGAACCTTGGGGAAAAAACATACTTGGTAAAAGGAGATGGTAA